AAAGTTAAAATCAGTGTAGAGTTACCTTTCACTATTTTATTTGAAGTTAAAATCAGTTTAGAGTTACCTCTCTCTATTTTATTTGAAGTTAAAATCAGTTTACTTTTTTACTTGCTATGATGGAGTTCGTCTTCTTATCGTTAGTATATTTCATGTTTCAAATTAATAGGAATTTAAAGAGTTTGAGGGTACATTAGTTTGCATTGCTGGAAAGTCAGAATTGGACCTTTATTTGGAGGAAAAAAAGCTCGATTATCAGACTTTTCATGAGATGGATGTTATTAAGTATTGGAAGGATAATGAAAAAAATATCCCGATCTTTCGGTAATGGCACGAGATGTCCTCAGTGTTTCAATTACCACCGTAGCATCTGAATTGGAATTTAGTATTGGTGATCGTGTTGCTACCAAATATAGAAATTCTATCCATCATGAAAATGTTCAAACTCTTGTCACTACCAGAATTTGGTTGCATGGATTTACTCAACCTAATGAGGGTAATATTTTTCTATCTAATCTATTAATATATCACTCTTTTTCTGAAAGTATTTGTTAATGATTATCTAACTAACATCTTGTATGGTGAATTGTAGATGAAGATGAACTTCTTAAGGAAACAATATCACATGCTGATTCAAATGTGATCGATGGTACAAGTGGAAGCGGAGTCGTGAAACTTTAATTAATGGGTCATGTAATATTTAGCAATTTAGATTTGTTAAGTATTTGGGCTGCCTTGTGTCGCTGGAAATCTTTTAAACCAGCTAGTTTTTTGTGGGAGGAATGGTGGAATGATCAACATTTATCCGCTAAATCTTACGTTGGCTATTATGTATTTTTGTAAGTATTCACCAAAGTGTGTGATTTATAAATGAATTTTTGTATGTATTGATGTCGTGTTCATAGACGTCAGCGTTCGATACTCTTTCTAAGAGTGTAATATTGTTCATATTTTGGTTGAAGGGCCAACCCGTCCCAACCCGTGGCCCGCTTAGGGCTAGGTTGGGCTACTATTTTATCGGCCCTTTAATTAAAAGGGCCAGTCCGTCCTAGCCCATTTAACTCCCTAGCCCATTAGGGTTGGGTTGGGCCAGCCCATTTTGATAGCTCTAAGGGTGGGGTAAAAAAAAATAAAAAAATTGAAGTTGAAAATATTTTTTTAAAAAAAGTTCTAATTTTTTTTTTGTTTCAACAAAAAAATTTGATTTTTTCAACAAAATAAATTGTAATATGAGGTTGGAGGAAAGTTTTGGAAAATGTTTTCCTCAATTTTTGAAGGGAAGTCATTTTCCTTAAATTTGAGGAAAATGATTAATTTGGAAAACATTTAACCCAACCAAACATGAGAAAATTGAAAAACAATGTTTTCCTTCATACCAAACACACCCTAAGAACGACAAAATCTAGAAGGAAAAAACAAAATTTAAAGAAAGGAAAAATTATTTGCGTGAGTACATTTTAATAAATATTTATGATTTTAGTGATACTTTTTATTTACTACAATTTATAGCAATATATAGTAATACTATGATAAAATTGTACTATGTATTAAAAGTGAATAATAATGTAATATAAATGTATTGTAAGTGTTTTAAAATATATTATGCTTGTTTGGTAAGAAATTGACACAATGTTATTATAAGTGTATTAAAATGTGCGATAAATGTATTATTCATCAATAAAACTTGTATCATATGTATTTTATAAATTATTCTCTGTGATATGTATTAAAACCATATTATAAATAGATTATGAATGTCCAAATATAAAAATTATTATTACTATAAATGGTAAATATTTTCTTAATATATATCATATTTATGCAATCTTTCTTTTAAAGAAAATATAATTAAAAGTATAATAAATTGCGGGAAATCTTTAATAAGTTAGTTGATTAATTTGTCTAAACTTTCATCTTGTTGATGAGGATTCGATTTCATGCTTTAGGGCGTGTTTGGTATGAAGGAAAATATTTTATAAGAAAATGTTTTCATGGAAAACAAGTAGATTTCTGACTTATTTTATGTTTGGTTGGTGAATAGAAAATATTTTCTGAAAAATATTATTTAATGTTTGGTTTATGAATGAAAAATATTTTTGAGAAAATATCTTTTATTTTTGATAGAGAGTAGAAAATAAATTTTGACTCGAAAACCGACCACGATATTGGATCTAGGACGTGACCCCGACACGCGAACTAGAACACAACTCTGGCGACAGATCTGAAATCTGACCCTGAGATCTGACCAGGACTTGACCTCAACTTTCGACGCGAGAACATTTGAATTGGGATGGGAGATCTGACCCCGAACCAACCCCAACACCCGAACTTGAACACGATCCATCAATTTGGATTTTGACTTCGACACTCGAAATTTGGAATTGAAAGTATTTTTAGGGGGGGGGGTCGAGGGTAGGGCTGGGTGGGGTAAAAAAAATTGAAAATATATTTAAAAAGCAAATTTTGATTTTTTTTTTGGGGTGGGGAGGTAAAAATAATAATTTGAAATTGAAAATATTTTTTAAAAACAAACTTTATTTTTTTAATTTTTTTTTTGGAGGGGGGGGGGTGAGGGTTAGGGAGTAGGGGGGATAAAAAATTGAAGTTGAAAATATTTTTTTTTAAAATAACTTTAAATTTAATTTTTCAACAAAAGAATTGTAATATGATGTTGGAGGAGAGTTTTGGAAAATATTTTCCTTCATTTTTATGGAGGTCATTTTCCTTAAATTTGAGGAAAATGATTAATTTGGAAAACATTTAACCCAACCAAACATGAGAAAATTGAAAAACAATGTTTTCCTTCATACCAAACACACCCTAAGAACGACAAAATCTAGAAGGAAAAAACAAAATTTAAAGAAAGGAAAAATTATTTGCGTGATTTTTTCAAAAAACAATTTATCTTTTTAATGGAGAGGATCGAGGTACGAGGTGGGGTAAGGAAAAAAATTGTAATTTGAAGTTGGAGGAGAGTTTTGAAAAATGTTTTCCTTAAGTTTTGAAGGGAAGACATTTTCCTTTAATTTGAGGAGGATGAGTTTATTTAGAAAATACTTTTCAACACATTTAACAAAATCAAATGTGAGAAAATTGAAAAATGTTTTCCTTCGTACCAAACACACCCTTAATGTTCCCAATTTCTTATCTAATCAGCAAATGACATGTCTAGTTTGGACCATTTTAGTGTAATTTTTCCTTTTAATAACATTTTCTTCAAGTCACATGATCCTTTAAGAGAATATTAGAGCCTGTTTGTCATTGTTGTTGGGAGGCCAGAAACACTTGTTTTGAGGAAAAAACCATTTCTATTTAAAAATAAAGTGTTTATCAAATCAGTAAAAACACTTCTAAATGGAAGCAGAAACAATTTTTCTGTTGTTGGGAAGAAGCTAAAAATATCTGCTTCTTAAAAAAAGTAGAAGCAAAAACAAAAATAATTTTTCTAAAAACTATAATATCCCTTTCATATATATATATATATATATAATAGATTTTATATTTTATTTTACTTTTATATATTACATATTATTTTGCAGAATGTATTAAAATGATAATAACGATATTTTTGCAAAATTAGAAAAAAATAAAAAAATAACAACTAAAGATTTCAGCCCTCCCAAAAAAGGTATAATATTAATTGAAAATTTAAATATGTACATTTTAATTCACTCGGGAGCCACCAAGATGTACCGTGACTTGCGGGAGGTCTATTGGTGGAATGAGATGAAGAAGGATATAGCGGAATTTATGGTTATGTTTCCTAATTGTCAACAAGTGAGAGTTTAGCATCAAAAGCCAAGAGGTTTGTCCCAAGATATTAGCATTCCTACTTGGAAGTGAGAAGATTTGAACATGAACTTTTTTGTTGATTTACCCTTCACCCGGTGACAACATGATTCAATTATGGTTATTGTTGATTGTATGACAAAATCGATTCATTTCATTCCTGTCAAGGTTTCTTATTCAGTGGAAATTATGCAAGGTTGTATCTAAAAGAAATGGTTAGGTTGCATGTAGTGCCCCTATACATTATCTCCGATCGTGGTACCCAATTTACTTCTCAATTTTGAAAGTCTTTCCAAAAGGGTCGTGGTACTCGTGTCAAGCTTAGTATGACCTTTCATTGTCAAACTGATGAGTAAGTGGAGCATACTATTTAAAATTTGGAAGATATGTTGAGAGCTTGTGTTATTGACTTCAAGAGTAATTGGGATGATCATTTGCTTGATTGAGTTTGCATATAATAATAACTATCATTTAAGTATTGATATGACTCCATTTGAGGCTCTTTACGGAAGGAGGTGTAGATCTCCTATAGGTTGGTTTGAGGTAGGTGAGGTTTCTTTGATAGGGTTCAAATTAGTCCATGTGGCCATGGAAAAAGCTCGACTCATTAGAGAAAGGTTAAAAATGGCTCAAAGTTGACAAAAGTCTGATGCCGATGTTAGAAGAAAAGATCTAGAGTTTAATGTTGGTGACTGGGGTTACTTGAAGATTTCATTCATGAAGGGTGTCATGAGGTTTGGTAAGAAAGGGAAGTTTAGTCACCATTATGTTGGTCCTTATTATTGAGGCGTATTGACAAGGTTTCTTATGAACTTTATTTGCCTAATGATTTAGCATAGGTACATCTGCTTTTCCATGTGTCCTTATTGAAGAAGTGTGTTGGATATCCGACATCTATTGTACCATTAAAGAATCTTTGTATAAAGGAAAGTATTTCTTATGAAGAGGTTTTGATTGAGATTTTAGACCGACAAGTTAGAAAGTTGAGAAATAATAAAGTTGTATCCGTAAAGATTTGTGGAGGAATCAAATGACTGATGGTGCTATTTGGGAGGCTGCGGTCGATATGAAGTCCCGATATCTTAATATCTTTCCCTCCCATACTACTCTAGCTTGAGGTATTTAGCTCCTCCTAGTTCATTCTTTTGATTTCATGTGTCTTAGTCATTCCCATGTTTCCGTAGCATATATGTTTTATGAATGATGTTTGAGTATGTTTTAGCTTCAAGTCATTTTTTCTCCTCGGATATGTGCATTATTGATGAATTGCATTCATTTTAGGTTGTTAGTTTCTCTCCTACTCTTTTCATATGAGCTTGAGTTCCATTCCAGTATGAATATTTTCAAGGGGGAGATATTGTGACACCTCAGACTTTGGAAAGGTTAAAGTGGATTACCGGAAAAGTCTACGAACCCAAAATGGACCCTGAACCATTCACGGAACCCTAAATGATTCGTTTAGGGGTCTACGACCCGTTTAGGCATTAGTAGCCTAACTGTTTAGGGATGCCATGATTTGGGTCACCTAGAAGGAACCCT